CACACACACACACACACACACACACACACACACACACACACACACACGTAAATGCACAGTTCTTGGAGGAAATAGAGAGTTCTTAACACCTGAAAGAAGAAGGGAGGTTTAGTTATGAAAGATAGCCAAGGAAATGCCTAGTAAGATGGTTTCACTTATAGAGCAGGGGTCAGTATTTTAATAGTGAGCTCAGTTCATACAGAAGTGAAGAAATATTTTAATTCTTGGGCTTTAGACTCTCGCCTTAGTGCTGCAGCAGATAGAGCACTAGGCCAGGAATCAGGAAAACCTGAGTTCAGATCTAGTCTTACTTTCTTAGCTGTATGAGCCTCGACAAGGAATTTAACTTGTCTGCCTCAATTTCTTCATTTGTAAAATGGAAATATGAATTACACCTACCTCCCAGAATTATTGTGAGGGTAAAATGAGATCGTGCTTTTTTTTTTTTTAAGTGGGGCAATTGGGGTTAAGTGACTTGCCCAAGGTCACATAGCTAGTACGTGTCAAGTGTTTGGTCGGAGGCTGGATTTGAGCTCAGTTCCTCCTGACTTCAGGGCCAGCGCTCTATCCACTGTGCCACCTAGCTGCTCCTGATTGAGATCATACTTGCAAAGTATTTGGCAAACTTAAAGTGCTATGTAAGCACTGCAAGCAATGGAAGGAGACAAACGGCCTTATAAAGGTTTATTATCTTAAAATCCAGAAGATTTGGATTCTGATATGTTTGTTCAAAATGGATAGACTTTGACAAAATTTCCACATTTTTTTAATACTTTTTTTCTCAGTCCTTAAAAAAAGGAGCTTTGAGAAATTAAATTGCCAGTCTGACAGTGTTGTGTTATTAATGTTCTAATGCCTAATTCTTCTATTTCTCTAGGATCTAAAGAAGTACTACTTCTACTACTGGCTTTGCTACCCTGCCCTCTGCCTTCCAGAGGGCCTACCCCTTCTTCAGGAGCCAGTGCGTTTGGATCAGAAGTTTTCTCCAAGCCAGGTAACACAACAAAACAGAACAAAAAATCTGTGAGCTATTATTGTCCACTCTCTGCCCTCTGGACACAAAGGCTAAGGGGGCAAACGGGCACATTTCTGGGGGAAGAAAATGTTAATTGTGGTCCTCTGGAGGTTGATGATCTGAGCATTGCTATAAATTATTTAGTGGTGGTGGTGTCATCTAAAAACCTGGGGAGTTCACTGTACACTGAGGTCTTTTGTGGTGTGGAATACCCAGTCAACAGGAACAAGTTGTACAGTGATGATGGGAGACAGTTGTAGTGGCTGGTGAAGGCATAGGCTTCAGTGTGGGCAAATACGAAGAAATTGCTTTGAGAAAAGCAATTCAATCTGTGGCTTTCAGGATGATGGGCCCTAAGTTATCAATTATGGCCCAAGAAAGAGATTGAGCTTGCAGCCATTTTGAATTTTGTTTCCATACTTGATTATTCTTTGATTCTGCTTTTATTTGACTTCTCCTTTACTTTAGGCTTGTTACTTTGTTTTTGAACATTTTCCTGACACCTGTAAGGAAGGCAGCGGGGTACAGTGGATAGAGTTAGGAAGGTCTGGCTTCAGCTCCTGCTTGGGGTACTGCCTGCTTGTAGGACCCTGCCTTCTTGTAGGACCCTGCAGAAATCACCAACTTCTCTGACTCTACTTCCTCATCTGTAAAATGAGGAGGTTGGACTAGATGACTTCTGACCTCCCTCACAGCTCTACATTTTTTATACATGATGATCTTTTCGTGTTTCTCACCACAGTCATTTGCTGCTTTACTGCCCCCTTCCCCCATGCCACCTATCCTTACAAGATACAAAAACAATTAAGCTCAGCTGACTGGCCAACATTTAACTTGTTTCTTGTTTCTGTCAGCCCAACATGCTGAAGGCCAGCAGAATGTTGGGTATTATCAGGAAGGGTTTAGGAATACAGCAGAAAACATCCTCCCCTGATACGAGGTCATGGTGCTTCTATGTCTGAAATACTGTCTCAAGTTATGGTCTTTGGATTTTAAGGAAAACATGAGAAAGCTAGCAAAGAGTAAAAATGACACGTAAAATAACCAAGTGGGGGGAACTTTTTTTTTAGGAGAAAAACTAAAAATATCAGGTCCCTCTGGTCCGTAAAGGCAAAGATCACTGGAGGAAGTGGAAAAAATGTATAAAATTGTGAGGGATTTTAACAATCTAAACATAGACTTGTTTGCCCATTGAAATTATGGCATTGTCATATTAGAGCTTAAAATAATTAGTTCTGGGATATATAAGAAGGCTTTGACAGAGATAGAAAACTTCCCTCAAAATTTGTAGAGTCAGAAAATATAAAAAGCCTCTGAAAGCTGGAAGTCAAGTTCATGAATGGTAGATCCAAATGATTTATGAAGGGACCATTGTGATGTTCTAGGTACAACTTAACCTTTTGAACTTGGCATCAGAAGGAACAATGAATTCCCTTGGGTATTACTGTTCTTGAAGAAACTTCTTTGCTTGTCCACATCAGGGATGGAATACTGGGTATGATGTCAGTGGGTGTATTTTCCTGATCTTTAGAGCACTGATAAATATATTCTTACCATATTTCAGTTATGGCAATTAAGATCCTTACAGGGGTGTGATTGGTTGTTTCCAAGTGTTGGTTTTAACTTTATTCTTAATTTGTATCAGCCTTAATGATTTTCTCCATAGATTTTTAGTGATAATGTTTTCTGTTTTCAGATTCAAGCCCTTGAACGTGCATATGATAATCTTTGCCAGGAAGAAGGAGTCACAGCATTGCCTTACTTTCTAATTAAGTATGATGTAAATTCCGTCCTGATCTCCTTGCTTAAGCATTGCAATGATTTCTTCCAAGATCAAAGGAAAAAGGTTAGAAAAACTTTGCGTGTGATTGTGGTCTTTGGTGGGGAGGAACCCCTTGGTTTTATATTATGATAAACTATAAGAAAAATGCAAACTCATTTAGATTAATTAACTCAAAAAAAAAATCTAGTTAAAACATTTCTGTGTGCCTTGCATTTGTCCCCTTCCTTTCTCAAAGAGTTCCTCCTTCTCACTTCCCTGTTTCTGATAATGGTGATGTCATTCCGCTAGTCCCACTGAAACCTCAGTTATTTTTTCATCCTCTCTCTCTTGACCCCTTTCCCCATCCAAATCAATCACTAATTTTTGTCATTTCTTCCTTCACAATGTTTATTTAACTCTTTTCCCTGCTTGCTGTCTCTTCTTCCCTTTCTTCACCTTTTTGCCTTGTTGACAGATAAATCTTGCCACAGTGTCGCTTTATCTGGGTTATTCTTCTGCCCAGTGTAATCCAGCCTCCTTAGCCTGGCATTTGGGGTCTTCCACACTGTGCCTGTCTGCCTCTCCCGCCTAATTGTTCTTTTGCTATTCCTCCATGTAAATATTTTGCTTCCACTAATCTGGGCTACTTATCAACCACAAATACTACACTTTCCCATTTTGATGCTTGTTCTTATACCTTTCCCTCTGCCTGGAATGCACCCTAATCCCTTATTTTTAGCCATCCTTCAGGGCCTAGGCTAACCTCTTCCTCCATGAAGTCTTCACTGATCACCCTAACCAGAAGTCATCTCTACCTCCTCTGAACTTGTAAAGAAAAGGCTACTTCCCCAGGCAGGACAAAGGGTGAATGAAAATCTAGTCTCACCTGGAGCTTGACACTTTGGGTGATCAAATGGAAACCATTTCTAGAAGAGTTGACCTGCTGAGTAGCTGAATCTCTCTGTCTCTCTTGTCTCTGTCATTTAAATTATGCTGGTCATGTGATGCCTTGTGTTATTTGTGTGCATGTCATCTCTCCAGTTAGAGTGTAAGCTCTTGGAGAGCAAGAACCATGGCTTATTCTTCTTATGGTCTGTACAGAACTGAACATGGTGCCTTGCTTACAGTAGGCACTCACATATTTTGTTGAATTATTAAGTACTATATATATGCATATAATCATGTAACATTTATGTGTGTGTATATATAGTCATATATACAGATACCCATATATATTTATTATCATTGTTATTATTATTATTGCTGTTATTTTGAGATTAGATTTATCTTACCCAGGCTGGAAGTACAGTGGCTACTGACAGACCCTACCCTAGTAATGATCAGTATGGAAACTTTAATCTGCTTCATTTTTTCTCCCTGGGCTTGTTCACTCTTCCTACCAGGGTGACAGCCAGGTAACCCTCTGCTCCCTGAGGCTCACCATCTTGGTAAGGACACCCATTCGGTTTTAGCCCTCTTGCAGCTTGGATCTCCCACACTTGAGTCATCCACCAGCCTCATTCTCCCCATCAGTAGGGACCACAGACATCTACCCGCTGTGCCTAGTCGGTAAGCCCAATAAAAGTCCATTGGAAATTATCAATAATATGCCAACATCTAGATCAAAAAGGAGACTGTAGATTGAAAAATAACCTGATAAGAGTCATGCAGTTATGAAAGTGGAATAATTTTGATACTTGCAGATATATAACAAAACTAAAAGAAAGGGGATCAAGTCATGTTAGAACATGTTGAGTCTGACCTATTTCATATCTTTTTTTTTAAACCTATTTTAGAAAATTCAGAATTAGTCTTTTGTGGTTTTTATTGCCAGCTGTTCCTATACTGATCATTGATCATTGAGTTCTGTTAGCAATGAGTTTGTTTTTTCTTGATTTCTCATAGGCATGGTGGGGCTTTTGTTTATTTTGATTTGTTCAGGTTTTTGAGGATGGCAGAAGAGACCTATGGACCTATGGGGTTACTAGGCAGCTAGGTGGAGTCAAGAAGACTTATTTCCCTGAGTTCAAATCCAGCCTCAGACACTTCCTAGCTGTATGATCTTGGGCCAGTCACTGTTTGCCTCAGTTCTTCATCTGTAAAATGAGCTAGAGAAGGAAATGGCAAACTACTCCAGTATCTTTATCAAGAAAACCCCAAATGGGATCACGAAGAGTCAGACACAACCAAAAAAACAGCTGAACAACAATGATTTTATTAGTTTATGAAATACCTCAACCAGTACATATGGGCACCCTCTTTACAGTTTGTAGTTCTAGAGAATTGCCAGGGGCCACTGAAGATCAAGTGACTTTTCTAGGGTCACATTGCCAGTATGTGTCAAAGGTGGAACTTGAACCCAAGCCTTCTGACTACTTGTCTACTACACCAAGATTAGAATGGAAAACAAAATCCTTCTTGGTTAAAGGTAACTATGTGCCATATAAACAATATTATTCTTAGCTATTTTCTCCTACTGCTTCATGGGTATTTTTATTACTCTACCCTTTCATTATCCACTTAAAAGAAGTATAGCTTTTTGAGAACTCTGCTTCTCTTATGTCAAATTTAACAGTTTACTCTTTCTCCCAGTCCCATAAGAGAATGCAGGACTTCTGAAGAGTCAGGCCGCTTGGCATGTGGAGCACTGCTGTAGCCGCAGTACCTGGGGAGACTGAGGCTGGTGGATTACATGGGTTTGGGAGTTTAAGCTTCAGGAGGGCTAAAGCTGATTGATGTCTGCTCTAAGTCCAGTAACAATGTGGTAAGCCCCCGAGAGCAGAGGGTCACCAGCCTGCCTAAAGAGAGGTGAACTGGTCTGGCTGGGAAAAATGGCACAGGGTAAAGCTTCTGTGCTAGCCAGTATTGGGATTGGGTCTGGGAGAGCAGCTGCTGAACTTCCAACCTGGACAAGATAGAGAGATCTAGTTCCTAAATAAATAAAACAAAGAATTGGGTCTGTATTTTTTTCCCCCACTGAGTGAAATGGGCTGGCAGACCTACCATTGGAGCAAGGCTTGAGCCTAAGGTTATCCTGTTAGGAAGATCATGCCAGGGTCCCCTCCCTAAAAGAGAGGGAGCTCATGACACCAAGAAAAGAGGTAGAGACAGAAGGAAACCGCTCTCCAAGCTACTTATCTTTTGTCTGGCAGTTAGAATTATTTCCTTAATGCAAATTCAAGTATCTTCTAGTTCATTTCTGATTCTTGCACTATTTTTTTATAAATTACCAATTTTAATTTCTGTGGCTAATTCTTTTTTAACCTCAGCCCCTAACTGTTTTTTTTTCAGCAATGAGTTATTTAACTTGCTTAACCTTCCTATTTCTCTGACTTTATTCGGATGCTTAAAGAGAAATACTTTCCTACTTTTTCTGTTCTCCCGCCTTTTAAGTTTAGAGTGAAGTGGTCCACCCTCCAAAGAGCTGCTGCCTCCTGTGCCATTGGCTGTTCCACATGCTGGGGACAGAGTCCTGCTCCATCTCTATTTCTTAGACTCATGAGTTTCCTGCAAAGCTGATTTCAAGTGCTTGCTGTGGGAAGCTTTTCCTGATTCTCCCTACTTATTAGGATTCTTTCCCTCCTCGGGTTATCATGTAGACACTTATGTTTGCTTACGGCTGTCACCCAGGGGAATGGGTCCACCTTTAAGGCCGGAACTTTTTAATTTGTTCTTGTCTTTGTATACCAAAGCCTAGCACAGTGCCTTTGCTTATAGTAGGTATCTGGTAAATGGCAAGAGATCAAGAAGAAAGCCCCAACCCATTGGTGGACTCTCTGAGACAGATTGAGGGAAGGACATGGAAATATGGAATGGGCAGGTCTGGATGTATTGTGTTCCCCATCATTGAATGAAGTGGCCACATTGATGAGATCTCAGGGCCATCAAAATATCAGAGTATGTATGGACTTAAAGTCATCGTATTTTTTAAACTAAAATTACTTTAATAGGAAGCTAGATATCAATTTTTTAAATCTGATTAAGGGATTTAAAACAAAATAAGTGAGTCATAAGAACTCAGTTCCTATCATGATTTTTCTGCTTGTCACATGAGGGCACTTTTCCTTATGGGTAGCAGGACATGGTTCCACTTTGATTTCTTAAGGGAGAGGCAGGCTGCATGGTGCAATAGAAAGAGAGCTGAGTTCAAGTCCTAGACTTTGCCATGCTTTGATGCACAGAGGTTGAATCACTTGCCCCAGGTCACTCCCAGGATAAGTGCTCTTTCCTGGACCTCCCCTTTTACTCCTGAGGGGACAGTGACTTCAGGAGGTGGTAATAAGGAAGGGCGATTTCTGGGGGCAAAATGATTGTGCCTAGATGTTAGATAGTGGGTGACCTTGGGCAAGTCACTTAGCCCCTGTGGGCCTCAGTTTCTTCATCTGTAAAATGAGGGGGTTGGACTAGAAGACTTTCAGCATTCCTTCAGCTCTGGATTTTTGACCGCCAGAGTGCCTGTAAGTATGAGAAGTCACATGGAGAACTGAGATTTCAGAATTGATGATAAGAATGCAAATGATTCTCACAAGAGAATTCTCGAAGTCTTCAAACGGGTACAGGTTCCCCTTGGAGCTCCTCTCCTGACAGAATTTGCTCAGTCCTATAAAGTGATGTGTTGCCCTGTCCAGGGTCTGCAGTCAGAAAGTAGCTTCATTTGGAAGGACACATGTTTCTGAGGGAATACAGGTGAGTGGGCACTTACGGAATGCCTCCTGCATGCTGTGTGTTACTGAGTGTAGTGATAGGCACTCAAGGGGTTGCGAGGGTCACACCCATCCCTTCCTTCAAGGACTTGGGGAGAGAAGAATCACCATGGAAACATGTAGCAATGAGTGACAAGTAGTGTGCAACTGGGGCACTCCTTTGGCCAAATCATAGGGCATCTAACTCCCTCTGACCTCCTGCCCATTCCAGTCCACCAAACAGTTAACTGTGTCACCAGGTTAAGGTGAATTACAAAGGCAGGCTTTGAAGAGAAAAGAAGTCACACAATCACAGCCTGTTGGGAGGGGAGAGGAGCAGAGAAGAATTTCCTTTGGCAGTGGACTGATTAAATGGATGAACAGCTCTGGCCAGAGGAATGA